GATTTGGGGGAATTATGTGTGCAATTCTCTGTAGAAAAATCTTGATAAAAGCAAGAGGTTTGTGGAAGAGTATGGATAAGGCAGAATCTGTCCCCTGAGGGTACTCTGGGCAAGACGCTGGTCAAGACCAGACTGAAGAAAGGCCAAAATACAAGTAACATTATCCCCTAGGCTTACTGCATTACTAAACCCAGGACCCTGCATTCACTACATCCGGTCTCCCACAGTACACAAAACATGGAAATGCAATTATTTTAGTAAATATAAACTGGTAAAATTCCTTTTCTCAGCAGGTAGAGCAGTCGTGTGACGTCCATCAGTGTTGAGCAGATCACTGGTTAAAACTTTTAGGAGGAGTTTTCATTCTCCCCGATTGTCCTTTGAGGCTGCATAACACCTGACACCTTCTTTTAAAGACCACCCACATTTATTTTTGAAAGGTGACAGGGCCAACTTTAAGAGCCCTTTCATACTATGTGGAGTTACTTGCGATTTTTCTCCTGAATAAAAACACACCTAACTGCAAAGATGCATAAAAAACAACCACTTTCTACGTGTCATTTTTACACCAGAATGTGGTGTTTCCCTGCGTCCTAGAAGTGCGATATTACTGGATGGCACCACATGTCACTGCACAGCAAGGCACCGCAAAGTTCAGTGTTGATATGAACAAAATGTCACTTGGTATATTAAACACAAAAGTTTACAAAATTGAAAAAAAATAAAAAAAATGCATATCACACTACCCCCCCCCCTTTCCTGCCACACATCACTGCTGACCAAAATGGACTGCTGCCTACACACTAAACTACTGCAGTTTGTGCAGGCAAGTGTGAACATGCCCTAAATGCTACAAAGTGCACATAATGCTATGGTCCAATGCTGACAAACACTTCCCCTTCTGTGCTAGCACATCGTGCTGTAAACCCTGCTGACACAGCCATTGATTATGCTACCCACGTTTTAGAAGGAATAGAAACTATTAAAAATGATCATTTGATGCATCATGAATTATGTTATTGTTTAGCACACAGGCAGGTATTCATTGGATCTTTCAACCGTAATCGACAAAATTCTGCCATAGTCAATTGACTTTGTCAGTATCTAAATCAACTGCAAAGTCTACGCTTTAGAATCCTTATTGAGTTTGATCCTTTTATCATAGTGATACAATATGTGGCCACTTTTCATCATCAGATTGGAAGGTTTGGCCTCAACTCTTACGCTGGTAACATCTAGAATTTCCCATCACTTTGACAATGGTCCCCAGGGACACAGCTATAAAAGAGAAAGAAAAACCCTTTAATGGGTACAGAGAACACCTTGGGAAAAATTTACCAAGACTGGGGTAGCTTTCATTTTCAAGCTTAACGCACCTTTACCAAAATATTGCCTATGCAGGTAAGGGGTGTCTGTAAATAGAAACTGTGCAGTTCTGACTAAAGTTGAATAATGTGTGTGCTATAGGTGTAGGCCATTTGCGTAACTCATGAAACCTGATTGGAATACTCCCAGGTCGTTGCGAGGATGTTGTTAATGCGGAACTTAAGCCTCTTCCTATCCTTTTTAGCCAAGGAAGCCGTCATCTTAGCCTCCGTCTATTCTGCAGTTGCCATAGTGCTGCACATGTGATCAGTTATGACACCAGTCATTTGATGGTTTGACAGTTTGGTTGAGAACACAAGCAAATGTGACAGTTAGCAATCCCAGCATGCCAAGAATGTAACTGCTGTTTGAAACCATTAGATTGTTGAGTTTAGTTCCTCTTAAAGAGAAGCCTAGTCATTACTGCTCACCTCCACCATCAGAGGAATGGGCTCTTTCTCTGATTAACCCCCCCACACACATGTTCTTGCTCTCCTTAATGCAGCAGCTATGAACTTCGCCTTTGAGAGCTCACTCCTGTGATGGAGGAGTAATGACTAGGCCTCTCTTAGCAACATCCTGGAAGTATTTCAGTCAGGCTTCAGGGCTACACCTGCACAGTTTGTTCTTATCTACAGCCACCCTTTATCTGCATAGGCAGTTTTTTGGTAAAAGTGAACTGACCCTTTATTCCCCTTCCTGTCCAGTCTCAGCAGACCCTCAATTACATCTTTATATTGGGGGTTAGTGGGAAACACTTCCCAGTTATGTGGCCACTGGCTGTCACAATGGACATATGACTGGGAGCCCATCCTGCTCATAACCAGAGGCCAGGATATATCAGTGACCGCTCTGTCACTGTGCCCAGAAAGTGCTCTTAGCACAGAAACCTTGACCACTATAGACACACGTGCAGGGTGTATGTTACAGCCACCCACTCTACCACTGCACATAGGTGTTACTTAGTTGGCAAGCGGCATGAAGAAGTGGACTGGTTACTAGGCACAGCTGCTCCAGTTTTAGTAAATGTCCCCCCAGGATACCACCAAATCCAGAATACAGATATGGACAGCAGGGCCACCCCCCACCAACAATACAACGGTGCAGAAATAAAGGCCTATGGACCTGATCTTACTTATGTTCTGTCAAGAATAAGGATGTAAACAAATGACATGGTGATAGGAGCACACTAGAGAGTTAGTATACTCACAGCTATTTTGGCTGCGCTTGTCCTTTATGTCACCACAGGAGTGCAGTTTGTTCTGCACTACTGTGATCTATTTTTAGCCGACAGCAGACTGAAGTCCGCTGTTGGCTGAGGTCACTCAGTGGGTCCAAGCTCTGAGGAGATCCTGACCACATGGTCAGGATCCCCCCCCAGAAACCTGGCTCAGCCTATCAGCCGGGAACCTGACCCACCACTCCCACAGCCCACCGCTGTCTGCCCAGAGCAGAGGAAGAGAACTGAGTGATCAGCAGTGGTTGATCGCTACGTTCTCACTGCAGAGGGGGTGGGAAACAGATGCAGCATTGAACTTGATGAGTATTGTTAGTTTTTTTTTTTTTTTTTTTTTTTTTTAAGGTGCACATAGTCCTGCAGTCCAATGCTAACAACCACACTCCCAGATGATATTCCACAGCGTAGTCCATGCTGCCACAGCCGACATGACAACACTGTGCAGGAGTCAGAAGTAGGGGGCCAGTGTTGTCACCTCATCACAGGAAGTCTTGCCTGGCAAGGGAATGCAGGTTCATATTCTGTGTGGGGTGACCATGTTAGGTGTATATAGGGGGACACTCTGGAAACCTTTCCTACATTTAGACGATGGCTCTGGGTGACCCTATAGAGGTGCTGCCAGCTGATACACGCCACAAAACAGCTCCACGGGACACCCCCCCCACGAACGCCTGCACGGGACACCCCCCACGAACGTCTGCACGGGACACCCCCCACGAACGTCTGCACGGGACACCCCCCACGAACGTCTGCACGGGACACCCCTCACGAACGTCTGCACGGGACACCCCTCACGAACGTCTGCACGGGACACCCCCACGAACGTCTGCACGGGACACCCCCCACGAACGTCTGCACGGGACACCCCCCACGAACGTCTGCACGGGACACCCCTCACGAACGTCTGCACGGGACACCCCTCACGAACGTCTGCACGGGACAACCCCCACGAACGTCTGCACGGGACAACCCCCACGAACGTCGTCTGCACGGGACAACCCCCACGAACGTCTGCACGGGACAACCCCCACGAACGTCTGCACGGGACAACCCCCACGAACGTCTGCACGGGACAACCCCCACGAACGTCTGCACGGGACAACCCCCACGAACGTCTGCACGGGACAACCCCCACGAACGTCTGCACGGGACAACCCCCCACGAACGTCTGCACGGGACAACCCCCACGAACGTCTGCACGGGACAACCCCCACGAACGTCTGCACGGGACAACCCCCACGAACGTCTGCACGGGACAACCCCCACGAACTGCACGGGACAACCCCCACGAATGTCTGCACGGGACAACCCCCACGAATGTCTGCACGGGACAACCCCCACGAATGTCTGCACGGGACAACCCCCACGAATGTTTGCACGGGACAACCCCCACGAATGTTTGCACGGGACACCCCTCATGAATGTCTGCACGGGACACCCCCCATGAATGTCTGCACGGGACACCCCCCATGAATGTCTGCACGGGACAACCCCCATGAATGTCTGCACGGGACAACCCCCACGAATGTCTGCACGGGACAACCCCCACGAATGTCTGCACGGGACACCCCTCATGAATGTCTGCACGGGACACCCCCCACGAATGTCTGCACGGGACAACCCTCATGAATGTCTGCACGGGACACCCCTCATGAATGTCTGCACGGGACACCCCCCACGAATGTCTGCACGGGACAACCCCCACGAATGTCTGCACGGGACACCCCCCACGAATGTCTGCACGGGACAACCCCCACGAATGTCTGCACGGGACAACCCCCACGAATGTCTGCACGGGACAACCCCCACGAATGTCTGCACGGGACACCCCTCATGAATGTCTGCACGGGACACCCCCCACGAATGTCTGCACGGGACAACCCCCACGAATGTCTGCACGGGACAACCCCCACGAATGTCTGCACGGGACAACCCCCACGAATGTCTGCACGGGACACCCCCCATGAATGTCTGCACGGGACACCCCTCATGAATGTCTGCACGGGACACCCCCCATGAATGTCTGCACGGGACACCCCCCATGAATGTCTGCACGGGACAACCCCCACGAATGTCTGCACGGGACAACCCCCACGAATGTCTGCACGGGACAACCCCCACGAATGTCTGCACGGGACACCCCCCATGAATGTCTGCACGGGACACCCCCCACGAATGTCTGCACGGGACACCCCCCACGAATGTCTGCACGGGACACCTTCCTGGAATAAGAGAGCAGAGGAGTGCATTGTGTGTACAGCTAGTCCAGGGAGGCTGGTCGGAAGTGTGAGGGAAGGAGAGGTCCAGGCCGGCCCAGTGTTTGCACCCCACCCGAGGCCTGCTCCCCCCACACACCGGACTCCTCTCGTCTCTTACACGGTAATATGTCCGGCTCCCCTCACCACCACCGGGTCCGGCGCATATCGGAGTAAATGTTCCTCGGCCACCACCCGGCCCGAGCCCGTTTCCCGGTCCTCTCCGTCCTCTTCTTCCTCCTCATCTAACTCGTATATGGTATCAAAGTCCGCCATGTTTGGTAGCAAGACGCTCATGACGTCACCGCAGGACGGAGACGGGATTGCGGTGACCTCACGTGACTCTCGGTGGGCGGGGGCTCGTGACGCTTTGTGAGCGGAGGGCGGGAAATGTGGCGCGTGGTCCGCTGTGTGGGATGCTGCTCGCTGAGCGGCCGTGTCAGTGTATGGTGTGGAATTAAATACTGTGTATGGAATGAGTGGAAGGCTGTGGAACGCATGGCGCCTCGTGTTGTACAGGGGAGGATGTTTCATACAGTTCTAGGCTATCTTCCTGCTGCCTGCGACCCTACCAGAGAGATTTCCCTTCACTTCCAGGGACAAGAGAGTGAGGGTAAATCTCCTCCTGTGGTGGCCATGTATGCATTCATAGTTACATTGTCAGGCTCCATGCATTTGCGACAGAAGCAATTGAGTACTGCCCATGATAAAAGTATCACAGACAGTACTCATTTGTTTCTGTCACAAAAGCACTAATACGGCTACAATCACCTCAAACAGAATGGAAGATACTTCTTATAGCCGCATAGAGAAGCAGTTAACCTAATCACAAAGGAAACAGTTCAACAGTGAACATTCTGCTGTAACTGTGATTTGTACAGTACTGCTTGGACCTGAAAAAGGGACATTCCCCAAAAGCTTGTTCTCAAAATTGTATGTTATTATTATTATTACTACGAGTTTATATAGCGCCAAAGGGTTTGCTCAGCGCTGTACAATAGGGGGGACAATACATGGCACAGTACAACAACAACAAGCAACGTTCGAGGGGTAAGGGGGCCCTACTTGCAAATAACAAAAGTATCACATCAGTACTCAATTGTTTCTGTCGCAAATGCACTAATACGGCTAAAATCACCTCAAACAGCATTTTTTAGAACTTTTGTATTAATGTTTAACTGCATTTTTTAACATATTTTTAGGGGGTTTTTTTACCAAAAAGTTTTTTTGTGATCAAAAAACACTGGTTTGCCACGATTTACTGTGTTTTTAAGCGTTAGAGTGTTTTTACAGCTACAAACCTCCTCTAGAAACCCATTAGTCCTGGGTTGTTTTTCCAGCCAAAAAACATTGGTGAACAGTCTATGTGTGCATGTGCAGATAGGATAACATGCTGGGGGGTTTACTGGCTGTAGAGGAAAACCGCAAAAGCCAAAAAGAGCCGCTGTAATAATCTCCAGTGTGCATGAGGACTTATTCAGGCTGAAAAAAAGCCCAAAGTCCATCCAGTTCAGCCAAAGAAAATCCTATACCCACAGTGGATCCAGAGGAAGGCAAAAAAACCAGCAAAAGCACAATCCAATTTGCTCCTGCTGGGGAAAAAAAATCCTTCCTGATCCCCCGAGAGGCAATCGGATATTCTCTGGATCAACTTTACCTATAAATGTTAGTATCCAGTTATATTCTGTGTATCTAAGAAAGAATCCAGGCCTTTTTTGAAGCAATCCACTGAGCTGGCCAGAACCAACTCTTTAGGGAGTCTATTCCACATTCTCACAGCTCTCACTGTGAAGAAACCTTTCCTTGTCTGGAGATTACATTTCTTTTCCTCCAGATGTAAAGAGTGCCCTCTTGTCCTCTGTGATGACCTCAGGGTGAATAGCTCTACACCGAGTTCACTATATGAACCACTGATGTATTTATACATGTTGATCATATCCCCCCTTAATCTCCTCTTCTCAAGAGACAATAAATTCAGTTCCTCTAATCTTTCCTCATAGCTGAGCTCCTCCATGTCTCTGATCAGTTTAGTTGCCCTTCTCTGTACTTTCTCCAGTTCCCCAATGTTCTTTTTGTGAATTGGTGCCCAACACTGAACTGCATGTTCCAGATGAGGTATTACTAATGATTTGTACAGGGGTAATATGATATCTCTCTCTCTGGAGTCTATACCTCTTTTATGACAAGAGAGGATTTTGCTCGCTTTAGAAACCGCAGCTTGGCATTGCATGCCATTATTAAGCATGTGATCTACCAGAACTCCCAGATCCTTCCCCACCATTGATTCCCCCAGTTGTACCCCCCCTAGTATGTAGGATGCATGCATATTCTTAGCCCCCAAGTGCATAACCTTACATTTATCAACATTAAACCTCATTTGCCACATAGTTGCCCAATTAAACAGTGCATTGAGGTCGGCTTGTAAATTGAAGACATCCTGTAAGGACGTTATTCCATTGCACAGCTTGGTGTCATCTGCAAAAACTGAAATGGGATTTATAATCTCAGACCCTATATCGTTTATAACTATATTAAAAAGTAAGGGTCCCAACACTGGACCTTGGGGTACACCACTGATGACCCTAGACCAGGGGTGGGCAAACTTTTTGACTTGAGGGCCGCAATGGGTTCATATATTGGACCCAGGGGCCGGACCAAGAGTAGATGAATGATGTGTATGTGTCATCCATAGTAAGTATAGTAATATTCCCCCATAGTAAGCATAGTAATTAATCCCCCATAGTAATTCAAACCCCATATAGTAATTCATCCCCCATAGTAATTCATCCCCCATATAGTAATTCATCCCCCATAGTAATTCGTCCCCCATAGTAATTCATCCCCCATATAGTAATTAATCCCCCATATAGTAATTCATCCCCCATAGTAATTCATCCCCCATAGTAATTCATCCCCCATATAGTAATTCATCCCCCATATAGTAATTCATCCCCCATAGTAATTCATCCCCCCCATATAGTAATTCATCCCCCATAGTAATTAATCCCCCATATAGTAATTCATCCCCCATAGTAATTCATCCCCCATATAGTAATTCATCCCCCATAGTAATTCATCTCCCATATAGTAATTCATCCCCCATAGTAATTCATCCCCCATATAGTAATTCAACCCCCCTATAGTAATTCATCCCCATATTAATTCATCCCCCATATTAAGTCCCCAAGTCCCCCCTGTGTCAATTTACTTACCTTTGCTCCGCGCGTTCCTCTCGCCGTGTTCCCGCGCCGTTCCGGTCTTCAGGGCGGACTGTGAGAGGAGCCTAGCTCCCCTCACATTCGTCACGCTGCCCCACCTACACACATCCTGACAGCCATCCTGACAGTATCACGCTCCGCGGGCTGGATTAAAAGGTCCGCCGGGCCGTATACGGCCCGCAGGCCGTAGTTTGCCCATTGCTGCCCTAGACCATTCAGATTATGAATCATTAACCACTACTCTCTGAATACGATCTTTTAGCTAGTTTTATATCCATTTACATACAGACTTTTCCAAGCCTGTAGACCTTACACATTAGCCATGTGTGGGGAACTGTGTCAAACGCTTTTGCAAAATCCAAGTATGCCACATCCAAATTAATTTCATATCACGCTAGGTATGCAGCAAACTATTAATTCTGGAAAGTGTCAAACGATGCAACACATACTGTATCAACCCATCAAAAGACAATCATTTAGTCCATCTTGTATAATGATTGGTTGTCTGATGCACAGGTGGATGTTTGTAGGATCAGTTGGAAGCAAGCCTCAAAACTTCAGAATGGCCCAGCAACTTGACATCGTGGAAAGCAAACTAAATCCATCAAATGGTGGGTCTGTGCTTTACAACTTATATTCTATTGCAAGGGTGTCAAGCTGGCGGCCCTCCAGCTGTTGCAAAACTACAAGTCCAATCATGCCTCTGCCTTTGGGAGTCATGCTTGTAACTGTCAATCTTGCAATGCCTCATGGGACTTGTAGTTTGGCAACAGCTGGAGGGCCGCCAGTTTGACACCTGTGTTCTATTGTATCAGAAGCTCATAGTGGACTCCATTCACAAAGCATCATTTTCCTCTTTACGATTTGTAGTATAGCATTTTTTGGCATTCATAGAAAAATACTAGTAAAATAAAGCATGTAGTATTTCATTGAAATATGCCATTTTTATCCCATGAAACCATGCAGTATTTTATCTCATGCGATATCCAATGGAATGGATACAGTGGAGAAGAATAAGAACCCCTGTCAGTTATTATTGCTAATAAAGAGGTAAAATAGTTTAAACTAGAAATATGCCAACTCACTAAGTCAGTGCGGTATTAATACAAAAGAAAAAACTAGAATACCAATCAAAGGGAAGCTGTTTTCACAGGACGCACATGATATATCAAAAACAACTAAGTTAACTAAATGCAAAATATTTTTATGAATGTCAAATATTGAGAGAACATAGTATAAAAAAAATCAAACACATATAAATACCCTTCTCCTACAACATTGTCTTTTTTATTGTTAGAAGAAGGGTATTTATATACTGTATGTGTGTGATTTTTTTTTTATACTATGTTCTTTCAATATTTGACATTTAGAAAGTTATTTTTTATTTACTTAAAGTAGAATGAAAGAAAAAACATTTTTCTTAGTTTTGGATAGAGTAACGACATATTAGAACACCTATTAGGTTTTTACTGCTGTCTGTGTCCCCCAGGGGCGGACTGACAACTCATGGGGCCCCCGGGCAATAGGGGATCATGGGCCCCCTGTGTCCTTGCCCAAACTCAAAAAAGCCTATGCAAAAGGTACCAGGGGCATCTCATAGGGCTCCCTACTGACCCCGGGCCCTCGGGCAGTGCCCGAGTTCCCAAATGGTCAGTCTGCCCCTGGTGTCCCCATTAGGGAGATTCACCCTCTCTATTTGTCCTGTTTACCATTATCATTGAAAGTGAACGTAAAAGAAAATTCCAAATTTTGGGTTGTCACCAGAAAGGTAATAGAGGGAAATCTTCCATTAGGGACATAGAAGGCAAAAAAATGTAAAATCAATTGACAGGAGTTCTAGCCCTCCATTACTCTCTCCAAAATTAAAAAGAAAGGCTTGCCTTTAGATACACTTTCAAGCAGCCTTTGTCAACCTTTCCAACACATAGGAACCCCTGAAATAACTTTCTAGTCTCAGGTAGCCCCTGCTAAAAATTACTATATCTACAACTCATGATACATTAGTGTGATGGTCACTGGGAATTACC